ATTGTGTGTTGCTGAAATAGAGCTTATATTTACATTTTGGATTTTGTTCAGTGCAAGAGTGAAGGTCAGTCCTGTAGTTCTAGTGAGGGATGATGCGACAGTTTGTCAGGAGGTTAAAATCAGTGGTAGGAACAGGTTTAAGATGTGGGTTAAGGCTAGGACTATAGCTGTTAATCTGTGGTTAGGGCTGGATATGGAGACAGGGTTAGTACTGGGGCTAGGTTCATAAGTAGAAGTGCACTAGGGCTATGGGAAGGGTTGCGAAAAATAGTTCTGTACAGCGTATACGATTTCCTAAGGTTACGGAAATTACAGATATGTAGGAGGAAAGGCTTTTAAGGTAACGAACGCCTATCTTTACCCTAAATTGTTACTGTGTGGTTTGTCCACTGGGCTGCTATTATAGAGAGGCCTTCAGGTTTACCATGGGAAAGTTGCTGAACAAATAAGCAACCCAGCAAGCTCTTTCTGAGCTCCTGAATGTGATGGATTGTCATGTGGGCAAGGCAAGCACTTTTCTCAGTGCGAGAGATGAAAAACAGGGTTTTCTTATTCGAGCCCTTAGGAAAATAAACACCCAGTGGCCTTGGACAATGCTGTTGAAGTGCTGGGCAGCCTGGTACTTTTCCCCAGCTCGAATGGGCTCCTGTGTGGGACAGGGGTATTGTAACTCCAGCTGCAGCCTGCATTTCGCTGAACACGCGGTGTAGGTAGAGGGCGGACAGGCGTATAAGAGCAGGGGCTTGTGATTATTACTCTCCAGGCAGGCTCCCTGACCATTCTCAGACTATGCAAAAGTGAAGCAACATTCGGCTGGTACTGCAGCAGAACAACGTAGCTGCTCTCAGACGCTGAGTTTTAAAATGCCGCAATTAAAGGAATAAACTGCTTCCAGCTTGGCAGCCCTCTGGCTCTTTCATCATGGCGAGGTGAAGGTCAGTTCTGTGGTGGATCACGCTGAGCAACACTCCAGCTGGAGGAGATTTCGGGGGCACCTGGCTAACGTTCACCGTGAAGGAGCCTGATGGGGGCTCCTCTAATCGCAAAGACATACTGAGATGGAGGGAGTTTTTAAGACAGTTTATTTCTTCATGCTGAGCTCTGGTTCAGGTCTGTGAAAGAGCCTCAGGGCCACACTCTGAGAGTTCTTGGTGCTGGAACGTTTTGTCTAGAAAAACACAAAAACATTAGGGGCAGTAATCCTGCAGGCTTTCCAGACATTTGGCCAATACCTACTGACTGTAATATAGAAGAACCAGTGATTTGACATATCCGAGCAATTAAGGTCAATTAAGTGAGAATTAAAAGAGAGGGGTGCCCTATCCCTGACTGGATCGTTCGGGACATGAGACGGGCTATTTAACCCCCAGTACCTAAGAAGGTCACATACATAACTGTCTTCTAAAATACTGCCTCCTGTCTTTTGAGGTGAAGAGTCATATTAATTGTGCAGTTTGACTTCCTAACTGGATGTAAGCTATTTACAAGCAATACAATTGGTCACTATGCTTTCTAGTGAACGCACAGAGTTTTTGTATTTACTGTATATTCGGAACTCCACCGATAGCTTGTTTTATCAAAGTTTTATGCATCTTAAATTAGTTAATAATAATGCTAATAATTATAATAATTATTACACTTACACTTATATAGCGCTTTTATATTACATTTAGGATGAATGACAGCCCAGGTTTAGAATGGGCATCATTGTAAAATATGCATAGAATACAAATGGAATTGAATAATCGACAAACTTTGTGAGAGCAGGAAAGTTCCAACTGCATGTTTACCCTGAAAACTGGAGACCTCCCCCATTCCAGAGATCTAGCTCCCCCTGCTGGGAACACTCCGAAAGACAGCGATTGAATTCGGAGATTTTGTGGAGGCAGTCTAAATCAAAATGTGATTTTCAAAGCAAATTTGCCAGCACGGCCGATTCTGGTTATATTTTAAGGAAACAATAAAGACCTGTATTTTTTTCTGCATTTTAGAATTTTATATGTTGCTGATTTAAAATACATAAATAGTTCTTCTTTTCGTCTTCACCGCATTAAAAAATATTCTGCAACCACATTCCATGATGAACGGGAATCATTGTTTTTCTTTCATTGTAGTGCATATTTACTTCTACCTCTGCGATTGGGTAGCTAGCTAGTTTGCAACATGATAATTAACTGTTTGTATATTACATTACGTCCTCCAAGGTGGTGGGTTTGGGGGCACTTCACCATCAACGAGGTATCGAACCTTGGACTGCAAGGAAACTACTGCTCCCAGAAGCCCGCTTGCAAAAAGTCTCTTTTGTCTTGCTCTCAACCTACCCTTAAGCGTTCCAGGAACCCGCCCCCCGTGAGCTTCCCCTCTTCTGATTGGACGTAACGCTTCTACGTCAGCCCTCGGGTGGGCGGGGTCGCATGTCGAACCCTTAGCGTGGCGTTCGTTAAAAAAAAAAGTGAAGTTTGTTAGCACCGATAAAGGAAGACGGCTTGAGGTGAGTAGGTGAGCAGCGATCGGTCGATTTGTTAGTGTTTGAATTGCGGTAGCGTCACTGCAGCGAGGACGTTTTTTTTCCCCTCTCCCATGTCGAGGTGCCCGTGACAGCCGGATTGGACGCGCTGCAGGTCTCAGCAGTGCAGTTTATTTGTTTTGCTCGGTGCTTTTGTTGAGCATCCGCCGGCGACGTTCCGCTCATGTCCGTCTGGCTGAAGCACAGACCTGTCAAAGCGCCGACTGGGCGACCTGGCTCGCTCGCGTGCTTTGTGTGACAAGTGTCACACGTTCCTTTGATGTTCCCGTCAAGCGTGATGTCGTCGCTCTCTCTCTCTCTCTCTCTCGGGATGTTATAGATGTCACGGAATAAAAATCACACGTTGCATGAAAGATATTGTTTAAATTTGCAAGTCGGCGACGGCACCGTTAGCTAACC